TCAAGCAGATTGCATCTATAAAATTATTTGGGTAAACTTCAGTTGTTACTCAAAACATTCTAAAAAATGGGTTACTCCACTTTTGAAATCAGCAAAAAGGCATAAAAAGTCTATGTGAAGGCATACCTAAATCCTAGACCTAACAACGAACCCATTACTGTTATCCTTAACAGTCCATGTACAAAATTTTTCCACATTGTTTATTCTATGCCATTATATGTTCAATGTATGTAACCTGCTTTTGAGTTTTCCTAGGGCTCATGCTGAGAATTTGTCTTGAGTTTCAGAGGAGACTTTGGACTTAGACTTTTGGGAAATGGTGGAACTGTTAAGATAATGGAATCGTTAAGATTCTTTTTTTTTTTTTTTTTCTTTCTTCCTTCTTTTGGTACCTGATTCAACTCAGGGGCATCTGACTACTGAGCCACATCCCCAGCCCTATTTTGTATTTTATTTAGAGAGTTGCTTAGCACCTTGCTTTTGCTTGGTTTGGCTTTGAACTCACAATCCTTCTGTCTCAGCCTCCCAAGCCACTGGGATTACAGGTTTGCACCACCATGCATGGCTGATCCTTAAGGCTTAAAAATAGACTATAAACATATTTTGCTCTGAGATGTGCATGAGCTTCTAGGGGCCAGGGGCAGAATGATTCAAAGTGTTCCCCCAAAAGCTCATGTGTGAGACAATGCAAGAAAATTTAGAGACGAAATGATTGGGTTATAAGAGCCTTAACATAATCAGTGCATTAACCCACTGATATCAATAATTGTAGAAAGGTAGGGAAGGTATGGCTGGAGGAGGTGGTTCACTAGGGGCATGCCTTGGGGATTTATAATTTTGTCCCCAGTGAGCTGAGATCTGTGCTTTCTGATCACCATTTCCTAAGCTGCTTTCCTCTGTCATGCCATTCTGCCTTGATGTGCTGCTTCACCTTGGGCCTAGAGCTGTGGAGTCAGCTGCCTATGGACTGAGACCTCTGAAACCTTGAGTGCAAACTAAACTTTTCCTCTTTTCAAACTATTCTTGTCAGGTCTTTTGGTTAGGGTGACAACAGAGCTGACTAAAACACATATCAAAACTGAATGTACTCTAACATTGCTGGTGGGACTGCAAATTGGTTCAGCCAATTTGGAAAGCAGTATGGAGATTCCTTGGAAAGCTGGGAATGGAACCACCATTTGACCCAGCTATTCCCCTTCTTGGACTATACCCAAAAGACCTAAGAAGAGCATACAACAGGGACACAGCTACATCAATGTTCATAGCAGCACAATTCACAATAGCTAGACTGTGGAACCAACCCAGATGCCCTTCAATAGATGAATGGATAAAAAAAATGTAGCATTTATACACAATGGAATATTACTCAGCACTAAAAAACAACAAAATCATGGCATTTGCAGGGAAATGGATGGCATTAGAGCAGATTATGCTAAGTGAAGCTAGCCAATCCCTAAAAAACAAATGCAGAATGTCTTCTTTGATATAAGGGGGGCGACTCAAAACAGAGCAGGGAGGAAGAGCATGAGAAGAAGATTCCCATTAAATAGGGACAAGAGGTGCGTGGGAATGGGAGAGAGAAGGGGAACTGCACAGAAGATGGTAGGAGACCCTCATTGTTATGCAAAATTACATATAAGATGGTGTGAGGGGGGAAGAAAAAAGAGAGAGAAACGTGTCACAGTAGATTGGGTAGAAAGAGGGGAGGGGAAGGGAGGGGGGATAGGATGGGCAGCACAATACAATAGACACTAGTATGGCCTTATGTATAAACGTGGCTGTATAACCAATGTGATCCTGCAATCTGTACACGTGGAAAAATAAGATTAAGATTACGTACCCCATTTGAATCAAATGTATGATATGTCAAGATCATTGTAATGTTTTGAGCAACTAATAATAAAAAAAAAAAACCTGAATGTACTCTATACATTTCCATGTACAATTTACCTTTAAAGAAATATTGGTAATTGATACCTTTAATACACATCTTTTCTTAGTGTTTGTTATTTTTTTAGTCAAACTAACTTTACCAAGGACAGGAAGAAATTCCCATAGTTGTTATTATTTGTTCTCTTCCACAGCACTAAAAACAAGGCAAAACCCATGTAAACTTTAGAGTGGTAAGACTGTGATGTTTAAATTTAATCTAGCATCTTTAAAAAATTTTCAGATTATAATTTTCAAAAAATACTGAACAAAAGCATGGCACTAATCATAAAAAAAAAAAAATGAAAACAGGCTGACCTCTGGTGGCCAGATGCCTCATCCTTTAGTAACTAACAAAACATTATGAAGTCTCTCATTGATGGTGAGATAGTCAAATAAAATGTACTACATAATACAATTAGAAACTTTACAAAATAACAAAGGTAGCAAGCACCCAAACACAAAGAGAGGGGTACAATTAAAGTCATCAAAATAAGTAAAATGTCGCCAAATATTAGTTTGTTCTAATGTTTAGTTTATCAGTTAATGTTACATCAAAATAAAATGGTATATGAACTAGTTCTCCTAAAGTAAAGGAAGAGTTCTGTGCAGTTCACTACTGTAGCCACTAGCCCTGTACCACTAGCCCTGTACCACTAGCCCCATGGGCCTACTCAGTGCCTGAAATGTGGTTCCAGTAAAATAGTACCCAATTTCAAAGACTTAGAAAAAAAGGTAAGTTATCTCAATCATTTATATTGATGCCATGTTGTAATAAAATTGAGTATACCTGGTTAAAAAATTAATGCCTTTTCTAGGTTTCTTTCACCACAGCTTTCTAAGTATTCTGCCTTTTAGTTATAGTGAGATTATCTATGCTCTCCTTATAATCTGTGCATTTTTAGGCCTCTATGCTTTTACTCTGATTAATTTGAATACCTCTCTTTTCTTTAAATTTAGACATCATGTTAATTTCAAAACTACAGGCAACTCACTTAACTAGCACTTGAATACTTCAAAGTTTCAGGAATTAGGGACATGAAGCAGAGGAACATTATTCTCTGGCAGCTGGTCTGTGCCTTGGCTTCATCATCTTAAAGGAGACTGAAATTACCTTACAGGGGTTTTTGTAATGATTTAATGGTCTCTGGCACATTGTTACTATTAACATTATCAATATGAATACACTTAAAAATCATATTGACTGCAAAAGCCAGTTGCACTTATGATTATTCATATAACATTCAAAACATCCAAATCACTACAGTCTATTCATTCAGCGATATTTATTCATATGGTTAATATATAAAAATTTGCATGATCAAAATTAACAGTAAATTTTAAAATATCTGTTATTTCAGGAAAGGTTAATTCTAAAGTTGTACAGGCAACTTTGTTGTAACTTTCTATTTCTTCACCCGGCAGTAGTTACTGAGGTGTAGGGGAGAAACGTTTTTTTCCGTCGTCCTAGGTTCTTTGGTTGGATTAGGAACTGATAAAAAGACATTAACAACAACAACAACAAAAAAGCACATTTAATAACGTACACCGGCACAGAAGACTCACAAGACACTGAGACTAGAAGGGTCAGGTGACTGAAGCATCCTGAACTACATAAGGAAGAGGGGCTTGGGGCTTCTGGGGAAGCAGGTGGTGCCATAAGTTAAGGAAAGATGCGGAGAGATAATGTCTGGGGAATAAAGGCAGTCGTGTCATGCAGATAGTTTTCCAGTAATAAAAACTGTCCGGGGAGAGCCCTCTTCCTGACATAGATACTTTACTAAAGTTGTCGTAAATGATGATTTACTTTTTTATGTCTTTAAATGTGTATGCTTTACAAAGACAGTTTTAAGAACTAATCCTGATTTGCGGTTTCTCAGAATATAACAGCCAGAAATACGCCCAGTAAGCACTCTCTAGTGACATATTTTGGAGGGGTATGTCCTGAGCCTCAACAGAGGTATTCCTTTTTATTGGAGATCATTTCATTAAAAAAAAAAAAAAAAGAAAGGTTTAAAGACTTCCTTCTCTTAACCACGACCCCTAAGACCTCTCTCCCTTTGTTTACTACACCGAGCTCCCGCAGGTTTGTGAAGGACGCCGGAGAAGTTCGCACGCCCGGAGCCAGCGGCAGCTCGACTACACCGGGCTGCTCCTCCTCACAGGTCCCGCCTCCATTCGCCGTGGCAAGTGCCAGGCACCCTAGGCCAGGACAGAGGGCGGGACAAGGGCCGCAGGGTGTCGGGATCTGGGGAACTCGGGACGGCTGGCTTCTCGGAGAGCGCCGGCCGCGCCCCGGCTTCGCCAACGCCCGGTCCCTCCTCCACCTCCACACGCATCCCTCCTCGGGTTCCCTGCCCCGCCGCAGGAGCGGAGACGGTTCCCTCGGCTGACTCCCTGTTCTCACCGTGGAGGATCCTTTCTGCTTTCTCGCCTCACGCCCAGCCACGCGAGTCCGCTAACGCCTAGCGCCACCAGCCCTGTCCCGAACGTCGCACCAAGTCTCCGCTTGACATCCCTGACGGCACCACTTCCGGCCGAACCAACGCCTCCTGTCCTTAGAAACGCCACTTCCTACCGGGAAAAACGGGGGGCGCGGAGGCGGGGAAACACATGGTAGGCGCATGCGCCCAAGTCGCGGGGCTCTAAGTGGATGGACTCCTTTCTTCCCGCTCAAGCATCCTAAGAGCTCGCGGCGTTCTCGCGATGTTTCAATCTCCCGCGGGAGTTATTTGAACGCTCTGGCGGTAACCACGCCCTGGACGCTCAGAGGCCGGCCTGCGGGAGTCAGTGGAGACTAAAATCCTGGGTTTCGGGGCCGACGGTAGTCATCTAGGCGCCATGGGAGCGGAGAAGAGGCTGCTGCCGATTAAGGAAGCCTTTCGGCTGGCACAGCAGCCTCACCAGAACCAGGCGAAACTGGTGGTGGCGCTGAGTCGCACCTACGGCACGGTAAGCTGTCCTCCCAGCGGCCCGCGCCTGAGCGCCGCGCCCCACCTTCCTCCGCCCAGCCTCCCCGAGGGCCTCCTGTCGCTCTGCGGACTTGACGCATCTTGCCTCCACCCCTATTCGCTGTCGTGACCCGCGGCTTACAGTGATCAGGCCACTTGCCCGAGTCGCCGGAGGCGCTGTCCACCCGAGGACCCGCCCTGGCTTTTCTGCACTGACCCTTCCCTCTCTCCTGCGATCTCCGGGGCGGTGTGGACCATTAATCCTGAGCCTGCAGTGAACTTGGAAGGCGCCGAGGCACCGAGCGTCAGTACTCAGAGTGGGCTCGGTGGCTCTGCCGTCGTTTCGCAGAAAAGCCCCAACCTCCTGCCACCGCCAAGCTGGAACCAGTCATCAAATGCCCATTAGGCATCGGAACTTAGCCCTTCCCTTACTGTGTTTTGAGTGGAGCCTAGGGAGCAAAGGGACAATGATTTGGGGAAAGATAAGGTATCTTGATATCAAAGAAAAATTGTAAGGAAGTATAATAGGGCTTTAAGTAAGAGATGGGATAGAATGTGAAAGTTTTACCAAGGGAAATTTCCAGGTGATAGAAAGGGCTAAATATGTCATTGTTGGTTGTGAGTTCATGAAAAAGCAGGTTTATACTCCAATGACACTAAATGCGTAATGAAAATTTCAAGGGCATTTAAAAAAAAATATAAGAATTCTTTAACTGCCCAAAGTCACTCTGGTGTACCCTCTGAGAGGTGCAAATTATAGCTTAGAGAGAAATTCGTGCAGACTTACTTCTTTGTTTTTGCTGTTTTGGATAACTGAGCTTACCAATGATTTTAGTTTGTGTTTTGGCTAGTGCTGTCACAGTATTAGGGTCATGTTGGGTTAAAGGATCTTAATCAGTGCAGTTTATGAGGGGTTTCTTTTGTCTTTCAGATGGATGATAAAGCAGTTTTTCATGAGGAGTTTGTTCATTACCTTAAATATGCTATGGTGGTCTATAAACGGGAACCAGCCGTGGAGAGGGTAATAGAATTCGCGGCAAAATTTGTTACTTCATTTCACCAGTCCAATTTGGAAGATGATGAGGAAGAGGAAGATGGTGGCATTTTAAATTATTTGTTTACTTTTCTCTTAAAGGTACTTATGAAAATTAGCACCTTGGGGAAGTAATGTAGAAACTTTTACTTTAAATTTTGTATATGTCAGGACAATATCTGGTGATTGAGAAAATATCTGTGAATGAGTATATACTAACTCTGGTTAACAGTAAAAGGTGGGCTTTACAAATAACTTCAGCATCAAGTGTTTGATGATCTCTTTCAATCAGTTCTCACTTGTTTTCAGTGAGTTTTCTATTTTAGAAATTCCTACAAAGATAATAATTTGTAATTTAGTAAATACTTTTTTTTTTCAAACTGTCAAACTGAATAAAAAGTATCTTTATATAGTTATATATAAATGCATTCATAGTTTATTAGCAAATAATGAATTACTGTTGTCATTTCAGGTGGCACTGAATATTTAGGAATGGTATGTTGACTAGGAATATTGGTTTTTGTTTTAGTCTCATGAAGCAAACAGCAATGCAGTCAGATTTAGAGTATGCCAGCTCATAAACAAGCTTTTGGGAAGTATGCCAGAAAATGCCCAGATTGATGATGATTTGTTTGATAAAATTAATGAAGCCATGCTTATTAGATTGAAAGATAAAATTCCAAATGTGAGAATACAAGCAGTCCTGGCTCTTTCACGACTTCAGGATCCCAAGGATGATGAATGTCCAGTGGTTAAAGGTATGTGTGACCTCCTAAATCTTTTCACTTTTTATTGATTTTGTTAATTTTTCAGCAATTGTAATTTTTTTATTTTGAACTACATATATATGTATGTGTAACACACACACACACACACACACATACACACACACATACAGAAGAGTAGAACACCCAAGTAGCAACCACCCAATTTAAAAAAATAGAACATGGGCTGGGGTTGTGGCTCAGTGGTAGAGCACTTGCCTCACATGTGTGAGGCACTGGGTTTGATTCTCAGCACCACATATAAATAAAATAAAATAAAGGACTATTGAAAACTAAAAAAATATTTTAAAAAAGAACATTATCAGTGTCTTTGAAGTCTGCCTGTCTGTATCTCACAACTGTATACCTGTCCCTGAGAAGTAATTATTATTATTGTTTTTTTGAAAAAAAAAACTTAATTTTTAGTTAAAAAACATAATCATATGTGGCTCTTGTAAAGTTTTGTCTATCATTTTGTGTGAACTGTACTATATTTTTCTTTCAAAATTATTTTTAATTATAATTTATTATTTCTAATCTTAATGTATTTTTTAATTGTTTCCAATTATTTTGCTTTTAAAAAAATTGTTATTATGAATTTTCTTAATTACATAGCTTTTGGTATGTATGTTCAAATATTTTTATAAGGTTTATGCCTAACAGTGGACTTGGAATATATGTGTGTTCAGCTTTATTAGATAAGTTATGAGTACTCTACCCAGTGATTTACAATTAATATTTCTAGTAATAGAGCATGAAAGTGTTCATTGATCCATATCCTGTCAATATTTAGTAATATCAGATTTAAAATGCAGTGGTGATGTGGGTGTATGTTTGCGTGTGTGTATCCCATTGTTGCTCATGTTTTCATATATTTAGCAGCCAGTTATAGTCATGTGTCATGTAAGTATGGGAATACATTTTGTGTTCTTAGGTTGATTTTTCTGGTTGTGTTGTTGTGTGAACATCATAGAGAGTACTTATACAAACTGGATGCTATAGGTCAATTTTTCAGTGTGCTTTCTTGGTGCAATCAAGAGATGTGCTGAACATGAGATGTATGAGACTGCTGCCAACATGGCGTGACATTACTTTTCTACAAACACTTTTTTAGTAGTGGAAGGCGTATACTCTAAACCGTAAAAAGTATGACAAGTACATAGACCAATAAGAAGTGTTTTATTAGTGTCATGTATTAAATGCTATACCTTATATGTACTTTGTTTTATATAAATGGCAGTACAGTATGTTAATTTATATTTGTCATCACAAACATGTGAATAATGCATTATGATATGATATAACCCACAGCTAAGATGTAACTAGGTGATTGGAATTTTTCAGCTCTTTTGTAATCTTATGGGACTACTGTCACATGCTTTTAGTCTGTCATTGACCAAAACATCATTACACATGCATTATTATTTCTATATGATGCCTGCCAGTGTGTTTTATCCATTTATCTGTTTTGTATTTAAAAATCAATTTTTAATTGATTTATTGGAGTTCTTTGTATATTCTGAAAAGAAAATCCTTAGATTATATGATTTACATATGTCTTCCAGTTTTTGCTCATTGTTTCACTTTTCTTTAGGTGTCTTTTTTTGAGCAGAAATTCTAGTGTCAGAATTATTAACTTCTGTTAGGATTTGTACTTTTTAATCCCTTATTTAAAAAAAAAAACTTTACCTCTGGAGTCATAAAATTGTCAATTTCACTTTTCCATATGTGCTAGATATATTTTAGACACTTTTGTGCTTAACTATTCACTTGTCCCTGTTACCAGTTTTGTAATCAAGCTTGATAGCTTGTAGTATTTGGCATTTTGGGGTGTTAAATGATATGCATAATGATGTTGTGTAAAACATATATGTTTGATAGTCAACATGTACTTGATAATGAAGCTGGGAACAATGTGAAAAGTACAAGAATAAATATAATTAAGTATAAGAAATGGATTTTGTTTTAGTGAGGACCACCAGAAGTTATTTTTACAATGCATTCATTAAAAATTCAAATCATGGATCCTAATAAAGCCATACCAGTTTAAATTAAACTGCCCACAAAGTAAATTTTCTTTTCACTTTTAGGGTTATTTTTAGGCACACCTAGTTTATTTTTAATTTATCGTTCTGTCCTTAGAAGGGAAGTTGGTGGAGAATATTTTCAGTTAAAATTAAGTGTGTGAGACTAAAATATGTAATTTAAAAAAAAATTTTAAATAAGACTTGCTAAATAATTTCTTTAGTACTAAAATGTAATACTTTATTTTTAGCATATGCTACTTTGGTAGAAAATGATTCAAATTCAGAAGTTAGGCGTGCAGTGTTATCATGCATTGCACCCTCAGCAAAGACTTTGCCAAAAATTGTGGGGCGCACCAAGGATGTAAAAGAGTCTGTCAGAAAACTGGCTTATCAGGTAAATATATTCAATATTTTTGCAGGCATATTAAAAGAAGCCATTTTCTTTAAGTACTTTTGGAAAATACTTAGCACATAATAGTGGTTTCTCTAAGATTATGGAGAGTATAGATAATTTAGGTAGAATTTTTGTCCGAGTTTTTTTCTGGAGATTCTGGTTAACTTACTAAGATGAATGTTATTTATATTACTAGTTAAGAAATCTATAAATTGTGTTAAGTTTAATGACCATCTTTTTATTATTACCTTTTTAAGGTTTTAGCTGAAAAGGTTCATATGAGAGCAATGTCCATTGCTCAAAGAGTAATGATCCTTCAACAAGGTCTTAATGACAGATCGGGTAAGATATACATCTTTATATATGAAAGTTTTACTAGATTTTGAAGTCAGACTTACTGGAGTTTAGGAAACAAGTATTAGAAATTAGGGTGAGTAAGCCTGTCATTCCCGTAAACTTGGTAGAAGTTGGTGGATCATACAGAAAACATTTCATTGTGTTAAAGGTCTTAGAATTTTGAAGGAGCTGAGCTTTCAACCTTTCTGTTTCATAGATGGAGAAACTATATTTAGGTCTATGGAGATAATTAACATCAGAAGTTAGAATCTTTTTGTGCCCCCCCCCCCTTTTTTTTAGTTTTATTGATTTTATTTTTTTAAATACACAACAGCAGAATGCATTGCAATTACAAAATACAGTACAGTTTTTCATATCTTTGTATATAGAGTATGTTCATGCCAATTCATGCCTTTATATATGTACTTTTTTTTGCATTGCAATTCTTATTACACAAATATACCACAATTTTTCATATCTCTGTTTATATATAAAGTATGTTGACACCCAATTCGATTCTTCATACATGTATTTTGGATAATGATGTCCATCACATTCTACTGCCCTTGCTTATCCTCTGGCCCCTCCCTTTCCCTCCCACCCCTCTTCCCTATCTAGAATTCATCTAATCCTCCCATGCTCCCCCCTCCCTAACTCACTATGAGTCAGCCTCCTTATATCAGAGAAAACATTTGGCATTTTTTGGGGGGGGATTGTGCCCTTTATCTTTCTTAAAATTTGTGTATCTTGGCAAATACTTGACAGACCATATACTGGTGCATTAGGCCGGTATAATATCCCTCTCCCCATCTGTTAAACTACAGAATCTACTTATAGGAATGATGTTTTAAAATTCCCAACTCTGATGGGAAGGCCAAGATGGTGCAATTTTGCTATAGCAAGAAAACAAACTTTTGTCTGAAAAACATTGTCCAAAGTCATTGAGTAGGATAGTCTTAAAACCTAAGACAAAGGTTTGTGCATTGATGTATATTTGTTTAATTCACTTCTGCAAATAGAATTGTGTTATAGATGCAACAAAGTAGAATAATAGATATTATAAATTCTAGGCTAATACCTGGAGCCCATTGTCTTAGGGTAGAGGGAATGCAAAATTTTTTAGTTGGGTATTTGGTGCTGAACTTTTTACATTTGTAGTTGGAAGTGAGCATCATTATAACTTTTGCAGTATCATTGTATTTTTATTTTCTTTATTTAATATGCTTTGTTCTGCTTCTTAATCTATTTGTATTGTAAATATCGTCTTGATGTTAACATCAATCTGAAAGAAATTAATGAAAAAGGATGAAGTACAGGAAATGAAAGCTAGGGGGAGCCTTTGTTTATCTATGTTTCAAATGATCCAATAGATGCTGTGAAACAAGCAATCCAGAAACATCTTCTCCGGGGCTGGTTACGTTTCACTGAAGGAAATATCTTGGAGTTGCTTCATAGGTTGGATGTGGAAAATTCTTCTGAAGTGGCAGTGTCAGTTCTTAATGCCTTATTTTCAATGACTCCTCTCAGTGAACTGGTGGAAATCTGTAAAAACAATGATGGCAGGTACATAAGGGATTCATTATTTGAATTGTGCTTATGAACTTCTGCAAATAAAATTAGTTTTTCCTCCCTATTGCTTTATATCAATATCTTTAATTTTTTTCTAGTTTTCCCCCCTGTACTATAAGAATGCATTGATTTATTATAGACTGTCTACTTTAGCTGTGATCTCCCATTTTATTATTTTGATATTTGCATTAGCCTTCCCTGAGAAAATCCAAAAACATGCATCCCTATTGTATATTTGTTCATTGTGTGTGGATAATTAATTTATGATGTCATTAAAAGAATGGTAATTATAAAGCAAATCTTTTCATTCAATTTTTATTCAAAATTTTAACTAAATATAAAGATTATTCTTTTTCTTATCGTCTTCTTATTTAATGAAGGAAATTGATTCCAGTGGAAACATTAACTCCTGAAATAGCTTTGTATTGGCGTGCTCTTTGTGAATATTTGAAATTACAAGGGGATCAAGGTGAAGAATTTTTAGAGCAGATTTTGCCAGAACCTGTTATATATGCAGAATATTTACTGAGGTAAATTTTTTTTCTTTTGGTTTTTATTGTGTTTGTGTGTCGGTCTTAGCCCTTTCTTCAAAGTCATGCTTGATTGGGAGTAAGTTAAAAACCCCTTTTTAGACAGGTAGAGATAAATGGGTATGTATATTAGGTATTCTGGAGAATATCCTATACTGGTCAGTAGTCAATATGTTTATGGTTTTATTCCTCAAAGCTGTTGAGACATGATTATGAACATTTCTCCATGAAATTAATAATAATGGTGTGTGTGTGTGTGTGTGTGTGTTTTTAATTCATTGTAAACTTATTATTATGTGCCAGATAGTAAATGTTTTCCTATCGGTGGGCCATATATTCCCTGTCAAAATTACTTAGCTATGGGGCTGGGATTGTGGCTTAGCAGTAGAGCGCTCGCCTAGCACATGCAAGGCCCTGGGTTTGATCATCAGCACCACATAAAAATAAATAAATAAAATAAAAGTATCTTGTCCGACTACACCTAAAAAATAAATATTTAAAAAAAATTACTTGGCTCTGCCACGGTAGTGCAAAATTTGCTGAATACATTATGTTAATGACTTGAATGTGGCTATTTTCTGATAAAATTTTATTAACTTTTATGACACTAAAATTTGAATTTTGTATAATATGCAGTGTGTAAAAACCTTAAAAAATTTAATAGTAAGAATTATTTTTGGCTTATAAGATGTACGAAAATAGCATAGTGGATTTAGTCCTTGGGCATAGTTTTCAACTCTGGGTGGGATTTTATGGCCAGTTTTATTATTAAAAACTTACCATGTAGATTTTAGTTTTAAAGTTTAAAAAATTTGTTTTTCTTAAATTACTTGCATAACTTATTTCTATACATTTCACTTTAAAATTATCAAGTAAAATATTCATTCTTGTAAAAATTCAAATTACAAAAGTACATAAAATAAAAATATTGAGTTCTCCTTTTATTTCTTGCTTTCCCAATCCCATTGATTAATTGATTGATTAGTTAACAACTAAACAATGTGGGATATGTACTTTGAAACCTCCTTGCTTATATATATTACTGTAAATGTATACATAGTTTTTTTCTTGTTTTTTTAAATATAGTATACTAGCCTGGTGTATTGGCTCATACCTATAATCTCAGCTATTTGAGAGACAGACACAGGAAGATCACGAGTTAGAGGCTAGCCTGCGCAACTAGTGAAACCCTTTCTCAAAGTAAAATATAAAAAGAGCTCCATGGCATAATATCTCTGGGTTCAATCTCTATTACCTGCCCCAACCCCCCACCCCCACAAATAAATAAAAGAACAGCTCTATAAGTATGTGTGTGTGTATACACTCTTGTTTTCCATTTATTTATTTATTTATTTTAAGTATTGATGGCCAAAGGCATTATATGTTGTTGTATATAAATCTGTATAGTCTAGACAAGAGTTTATTGTTCCATAGTACATTGGTAGCATTTAATTTATTTCTCTGTTAGATATTTAGGGTGTTTCTCATTTTCACTGATTAAAACAAAAAGTCTACTAAGCTTCCTTGTAAATGTCTAAATTTTGCTTTTAAGCAGCCTTTTTTTTTGGTTTGTTTTGGGGGGTTTTACACATGAGAAAGGGAGACCTTTGTGATAGGGTATTGAATATAATCTTGATATGAGGGTTGGGAAAGGCTTCAATTTGGGCAATGATAAGGATGAAAGGTAGTTAATGGTGATTTTTTTTAGTAGTATATTCAGTGAAATAAGAACACTACAGAAACGAAATAGGGTCCTAAGAAAGGATAATGTACATTTATGAAATTGTTCATTTAAAAATTTTTAAATTGTATTCATGGATTACTTGTGTAATTACTATTATTACTATTATTTTAAACAAAAGAATGATTGTTAATTAGGTATGATAAGGAAAGACTAGATTTTTATGACTACTTGAACTTTTGGACAAGAGATTCAGAACTTGAATATTTTTAGTAGAAAATACATTTTCTAATTCTTTAGCTCCATCAAAAGTTTGCAAAGTTCATTATAATAACATTTATTATTGATTGGGTATAAACTTCATGTTTTTAGAATAATATTAATTGAAAAAGATCTTTTTCTGGCCTAAAGGTGGGAATCAACTTCTCTTTGGTGTACACTAGATCCTACTTTATTAATTTTGCTTGTTTTAGTTATATCCAGAGCATTCCAGTAGTTACTGAAGAACAAAAAGGTGATTTTTCTTACATTGAAAATTTGATGACAAAAGAGTTCATAGGTCAGCAATTGATTCTGATTATCAAGTCTTTGGATACCAGTGAAGAAGGAGGAAGGTATGTGTAAATGTTAATCCTTTTTCATATTTACTCTTCTAATTTCCTATATTGGAATAATGGTCTTGTTATAATATGATTGGACATATTTACCCTAGCTCTCTAAGTGTTTTAAAAAGTTTTCATTTTTCTTTTCTGTATATTTCTATATGTATATATACACATAGACATTTAGTTATGTGTCATTTAACAAAAGGAAACATTCTGAGAAATGTGTTATTAAATATTGTTGGTATACAAACATTATGCTGTGTAGGAACAAAAACCAAGATGGTGTAGGTTGCATGATATGGCCCCCTGGTGTAATGAAGAGACTATAACAAACACAAGGCTGCCACCAGCATAACATAAAATGGAATACTGTTTTATGGTAGGCTTTTGTTTTAATAAGTAGAAGTACACTCTAAAATAATGATGAATACGGTATAGTAAATACATAAACCAATAGCTACTCACCTATTATTAAATAAATGTATATTGTTAGATAAAAATATAAATAAATATATTTATTATTAAATATATACAATAGTACTCATTTATTATTAAATATTACATACTGTAACTGTACAGAATTGTATGAACTATGCTTTTATATTGGTAATAATGTGATGGGTTTTTATTTTTTATGCCAGCATCACCACAGAGTAATGTGCTGAACTATATTACTGTGGCTATTGTGTCATTAGGCACTCTTTTAAGCTCCAATTTAATCTGATGGGACTCTCATTATATATGTAGTCTATTAACTAAAATGACACTATGGATTATGATGGTGTGTGTATGTGCATGTATATGTATGTAAACCCACTTGAGTTTCTTCAGACTAATTTTTTTTAGCTTTTAGTTAAAAAAAAATCTCTATTTGTATTTATTTCAGAGAGGGATAGTAGTACTACTTTCTAAAAGGTTTGGTTCATGTTTGGGACTTTGTCATTTTATTTTGATTTATTAAAGATTATAGGGTGGTTTATAAACTTTGTTTTGCAGAATATGAATTTTTTTTTTACCTAGTCTGTACATATGGATTTTTTTTAACCTATAGTGATAAACGTAAGTGAAAAACTAAGATAAATTTAAGTAAGTGAAATGTTAGAGATAAAATGTGTTCTATCATAGTGATATTTAAATTAAAACAGATCTCTTTGATTGTAGGAAACGACTGTTGGCTATTTTGCAGGAGATTCTTACTCTACCCACAACTCCTATATCCCTAATTTCATTTCTTGTGGAAAGACTTCTTCATATCATTATAGATGATAATAAGAGAATACAAATTGTAAGTGATTTTGCTCATTGTTGATAAAGAGGTTTTGGTCAATGACTTAATTTCTCTTTAGAACTTTTTGTTTTGTCTAACAAGTTTTTAAAAATTAAAAAATTATCTACCTCTGTCTCTCACTCTTTCTCACACACATACACATTTTTAACATACCTTCCTTCTTTGGTGGGTCTATTACTCTGTTTAATCAGTTTAAAGTAGAATAGGTTTGGGAGAAAGTGAGTAGTAGTAGGATGAGGTTTTGCCCATGAGGCACTGGGTACTGCAGTACTAAGAGTTGGCTGAAGTCACAAATACCTGGGTTGAAACCCCTCTGATACTTTCTAACTTTGTGTCTTTGGGCAAGTTACTTAGGTTTTTTTTACTCAACTACAAAATAACAACGAAACCTACCTTTATTGTTTAATGAGGTACTACTCATAAAGTGCTTGGTAAATATGGAAATAAATTTTATTTACAATACTGTTTTCAAAAGTGTTATTTTTTTCTAGGTTAGCCAAAAGAGACCTGTATTATTTTCACATAATTATGTAGTCTGAGTTGCAGGTTCAATTCTTTCTACAGTGTTCTTAGTGATTATCTAGCGTTTGCTGCAGTACTTTGATTTGAGAGGCAGCCTTTTCCTGAATTAGCCATCTCCAGTGTCCAAATGGCTCCTTGTTTATGCTATTAATATTTATGCATTGTGTACCCAGTAGAAGAATAAAAGGATATTCTACTTTTCTGTATTTAATTCCCACAAAGCCAAACAAGAGATGAGTTGAAGAGTTTAGACAGAATTTTAATTTATAGTGTCTAATCATGGGCATCATAATTTATTTTTTCTGTTTTTCAGATATCATATGAGGGTTAATTAATCTTTAACATCTTTGTGCCTATTTCCCTTCAGATATCCTCAGTGTTTAGTCAGATGTGTTCAGTCTTTTTTGTTCTAAAACTGTCTAGCAAGCAGAATGTGTGCTACTTTTACCTATATATTTTGCTCTGTTTTTCTGTAAATGACATATGACAGATAATACTTGGAGTTTCATGTAGCAGTTTGACATCATTTGCAGATATGTAAACCTTATAATTTGAATTATAACTTATCAGGTTACAGAAATTATCTCAGAGATTCGAGCGCCTATTGTAACTGTTGGTGTTAATGTTGATCCATCTGATGCAAGGAAGAAAGAAATCAAGGTCAGTCTCTTAAATTAAAGAAGTGTTTGAGTAATGTAGTTGTGCAAGTCTAATTCCTCTTGCAATATGATTTTGTGATATTGTTCACAAAGTCAAATTATTTATTACATATCAAACTATAAAAGTATTTACAAAGTTACCAGATTTTGTCAGTCTGGAGATTTGCTGATCCATAATTCAGGAAGATTGTGACTGTAAGTTTTATTGCTTAAGTTCTGGGTCATTGAGATATTAAAATAATACTCATGTCTTCTATAGATTTTCACATTAATAATTTTTTTTAGTGTTTACACAATCAGTATTTATTTTTTTCTAGATGGCTGAAATAAAAGTTAAACTAATTGAAGCAAAAGAAGCTTTGGACAATTGCATTACCTTACAAGATTTTAATCAGGCATCAAAATTAAAAGAAGAAGTAAAAGCATTAGAAGATGCCAAAATAAACCTGTTGAAAGAGACAGAACAACTTGAAATTAAAGAAGTCCACATAGAGAAGGTATCAATAACTTTTTAAATTAATTAACTATTTTCATTTATATATGACAGCGGAATGTATTACAATTCTTATTATACATATATAGCACAATTTTTTATATCTCTGGTTGTATACAAAGTGTATTCACACCAATTCGTGTCTTTATACATGTACTTTGAATAATAATACCCATCAATCAATAACTATTTCATACTAAATCTCAAGTGTAATTAATTACCTCAATTAAATCTTATTTTTCTTTAACTCACTAAACTGGCAGAATATATTCACTTTGCAGAAATTGGTAGTAGCAAAATGAACTAAAATAGGGAAAATTTTTTTGTTTCCCTTGTTCCTTTCTATTTTTGGACTTAGAAAAGTCTTAATTAACTTTAATTATCCTGTAGCTAGGACTTTTTTTTTTGTTCCCTTGTCATGCTAATCTCTGAAATCTGAAGTATTTCTTTCTTGCAGGGAAGGTAGTCTTCCAGTAGTTTACTTCTCAGTTTTATTTATTTATTTACTCTCCCCAACATAGTTTAAAAAAACCATTTAAAAAAGGAAAATATGTCCATATTGTAACTGTTGGTTAAAAAACCATTTAAAAAAGGAAAATATGGCCACAACCCTTATTTGTGGAAGACCAATGACCTTTCTATTGCTAGGAAAAGCATTTCATTGGTAACCATGCTGTTACGTGGTTTTTTGGAATGTTAATTACTCCTTTTTATTTTCCTCCTTGGGGAGAGGGGAGATTGAACCAGGGGCACTTTGCTATGCTACATCCCTAGCCCTTTTTATTTTTTTTTACTGAGACAAGATCTTTCTAAGTTGCTCAGGCTATCCTGGAACTTAAGATCCTCTTGCCTCAGCCATCTGAGTTGTTGAGATTATAAGGTGTACTCCACCATGACTGTTTTTTAAAGTGTAATTACTTTAAATGTTTTTAGAAAAAGTTTTGTTATTTTTAATGAAATACTAATCTTGATATCTAATAATATTTAAAACTTTTTAAACAGTTTTTAAAACTTTGGTCATTTGATGAATTAGTCTCTAAAATGGATTATTTATTTCCTAACAAACTTACTTTAACATAGGATAGATTGATATCAATTATTAAATTTGATGTTAACTTAATTCAGATTTTTTTTGGATCTTGCCTTTGTAGTGAACATTTATTATTATACTTTTGGTTTAGGGAGTGCTATTTATAGTACTTTCATAAGTAGAATGCTGACTTGGAAGGTTTACTATATAAAAAGGTTTCATAAGCTACGTTATATCCATATCATTATATCTCTAGCCATGGACTTCCTCATTCCAGCACTTTATCTGTCCATTGAGAATGACTGAATTTATTTTCATAGTAGTAGCTTCTTTCTTTCTTTCTTTTTTTTTTTCCAAAGTCTGTGGATCATGGGCCATTAAACTTTAAAGCAAATTTAAAGCAAATCTGAAATACAATCTAAAAAATGACAAACTGCAAATAAATTAGGAGAATATTAGCAAAAGTGTTCTTGTTATGATTGTTATCTCTTTATGTTGACTCTGACCATTTACTTGTCTAATTGTCCTATTTGAAGGGTATAAAGCTATTTTAGTACAAATAGAGCATGGCAAAATAGATGCTATGATTGGGAAATACAGGTTTTATGGAAGAAGTGTTTTAACCTGAGATTTGAATGAAAATATTAAGTGAACAGTAAAAGGATGTTTTTCTGTTAGTTCTTCAGGCACTTCAGTTCATTTGATTGTAGCTGTCACTCTATGAGGTTGGTACTATTTTTTAAAAATATTTTTTAGTTATAGGTAGACACAATAGTTTCATTTTATTTTATTTTTTATGTGGTGCTGAGGATCAAACCCAGTGCCTCACGCATGTTAGGCAAGTGCTCTACCTCTGGGCCACAACCCTAGCCCCATGAGGTTGATACTGTTATCTTCATTTTTAAAAAAAGTATTTATTTTTTAGTCGTAGATGGACATAATACTTTTATTTTTTAAAATGTGGTGCTGAGGATTGAACCCAGTGCCTCATGCATGCTAGGCAAGTGCTCTACTTCTGAACCACAACCCCAGCCCTATTATCTTCATTTCTAAAGATTAATTTATTTGCCTAAATTCACACTGATAGTAAATGGTAGAGGTAGGATTTGGATCTAAGGAGTGATCTACATGTGTACTTTTAATGAACTCTGGTATCTCTCCTTGATGGAATGATTTGTGATGGCCCACAGGTTAAACAATACCTGCTTTGTTTTAAAACTTCAGATTGACATGACTAGAGAATTGAGGGAGAGGTAATAAATAAATCTAGGGGAAAATTGAGGGCAAGGTCATGTAAGGCTTTGTAAAAAAAAATCTTAAGAATTTGTGCTTTACTCAAGAATCCATTAGTATTTTAAGTGGTAGGAGTATTCTGTCTTAGAAAGATCACTGTTTTTCAGGAAATGGGTGTAACAGTGGGAGACTGCTATAGTGATGTAGGCTTGAGATGATGGCAGTGTGAACAAGATGACTGGATATGGAAAGAAGCGACATTTGAGAGGCTTTTAGGAATTTACAACAGGAAAAAGAGGGAATTCAGCATATTCTAGGTCTTTTACTTTAGACTGCTGCATAGATAATGGTGATGTTATGAAGAAAGAGAGCGCAGTAGGAGGAGAGATTTGGGCAATAATGAGTTCCCTTTTGTACTTGTGGAACATCCAAGAATAAATGTAACAGTTTATATTTATGAATCTGAAACTTAGAAAATAGTTAGTCTACCTCATAGATGATAAATGGAGGTGTATGACTGGATAAAATCATCCAGGAAGTAAAAAAAAAAAAAAAAGAAAAAAAATCACCCAGGGAGTATATATGAAATGACAGTATGCCCTAGGCATTTAAGCAGACATTTACGGAATATGCAGAAGATATTCTTAGTAATGGTGAATATTTTGTCTTTTATTTTAGAATGATGCTGAAACACTACAGAAATGTCTTATTTTATGCTATGAACTATTGAAGCTGATGTCCATTTCAGCTGGCATAGGTGCAACCATGAATGGAATCATTGAATCTTTGGTATGTTGTTGACCTTTGAAGCTTTATTTTACCCCAGTCCTTCCTCTCAAGTAATACGTTCATTAGGTTTCAAAAGTATGAAAGATTACTATTTTAAGCATCTGATAAACAAATAGTTTAAAAAAATGTTTAAAATGACTATTTCATATTGTGAGAACTAAATAAGGTAATGTGTATAAAGGACCTAGTACAAAAGTAATAATTACTCTTTTAAAAGATTTGGAAAAACTTATTTCACATTGGAAAGAGAGCAGAATGACTTCATTCTTTGAGTAAGAAGAGGAGATAACTTAATCATATAAAAAATAAAATTTTAAGTGCTGGAATATTGGTGTAGAAAAAGACTGTGAGAAGGTTACAGTGTGATCCCTGTGAAGAGTTCATTTACTACTATTATTATTATTTTTTGAGATGGTTCTTGCTCTATTGCCCAGGCTGGCCTTAAATTTTTAGGCTCAAGCAGACAAGTCTGTCTGCTTTAGTCCCCCAAGTGGCCAGGACCACAGATGTGTGTCATTGTATTCTGCTGTTCATGACTATATTTAAAGGACTTTAAAGTAAACTTTTATAGTTAGTCTCCATTGTGTAGACCCCAGAACATAAGTACTACAAAACTCAGGAACGGTACTTTATGATAGGAATATCATGGAAACCTTATGTAACTTCAAAATTTTCTAGTAATGACATTTAAAGAAAGTAAAAAGAATCAGGTAAAATTAATGTTAATATATTAAGACATATTACATGTATGTCCAAATATTTTTCGTTTGTTTATGTCCAAAATGGTATTTTATGATTTACTTGGTGTTAAAATTGTTAAGATATTTTATATCGTTTTTCATACTAAGTCTTTTAGCATATTTCAAGCTTGACTAGTTACACTTGAAGTGCTGCATAGCCATATGTGCCTAGAGGACACAGTATTAGACAGTACAGATGTAGGTCTTCCTTTTTTTCTTTTTTCTTTTTTAATGACATTTTTCATCAGAAAACAGATTCTGAATATGCCCAAGCTTTTAAGGATTCTGTTCAAATTAATTTAATTTGTGATTAGTGAGAAATAGCCAGTTGTGTGATCTGAAATGTAATTCCTTTATTGGGATATCATGAGTTTCTAAATGCTCTAGACAACTGTCTAGAGCTTCTGATTAAAGTATAGATTCTACTTCAACCTTTAGAATTTAGTTTTATTTTTAGAGAAGCAGTATCTTTAGTGAAAAGTGATCCCTTTTAAACTCTGCTTGGGAACTTTACGTCTGGTCCTATTAGAGAATAGTATATTGTAATACAGTTAACTCTAAAATTGAAGAGTAAATATGAAGTGTGTGTGTGTGTGTGTATGTGTGTGTGTGTATTAAGTGAAGAAAATACAAAATTGAATGATCATAATGACTATACAGACAGTCTATGGCTAAAGATTGAAAAGATGAATAAAGGAATGTAAATTAGATATTTGAATAAAATAATTATATTTATGTGTTTTAAATAAAATGTTATAGATTATTATAATATATAATATTATAAATATTATATATTTATTGAATGCTTACAGTAAATGCTGGGAATATAATTATACAGGGTATATATAACCTAGAGACTGCCATTATGGTTCTTCTGTCAAGAGAGGGGAATATCAGTTAAATAAAATAAACGAGTGAACACTATTGCCTTTAATATGTGCTATGAAAAAGGGCTACGTGGTCATAAGCAATCATAATTGGAGTAGATATTTATGTGAAAAAGGGAGGGAAGAATGTTTAATACAATAGCTATTAGGCACATGTGGCCATTAAAACCTACTTCAAATTGAGATAGATTTTAAGTAAAAGGATTTTTTGAAAAATTTGCTTTCAAAGACAGTACAAACAACAGAATATGAGTTGATTTCATTAATAAGTTTTTTATTGAGTACATGTTTAGTGATAATATTTTGATTATATTGGATTAAATGTAAATAAATAAGATTAAAATATAAAATTAGTTTTACCTACTTCTTTTTACTTTATATATAAATGAATAAGGTTAATATGTAAAATTAGTTTCATGTGCTTCTTTTTTACTTTAATGTGGCTTCTATAATGACTAAAAGAACAGTGCAGTTCCCATTTGTAGCTTGTATTATATTTCTGAATAAGAAGCATCAAAATCAGACCAGTTGAGCTGGTCTACTTAAGAGGTTGATTCAGGAGGATCTAAAATTTGAGCAAACCTGGGCAACTTGGCAAGACCTTCAATCAAAATAAAAAAGGGGGTGGGGCTACAGCTCAGTGGCAGAGCACTTGTTTGCATGTGCGGACCCTGGGTTTGATCCCCAGTACCACTAAAAAGAAAAAAGATCATACCAGTTGAACAAACCAACAACAAGGGGTAGCATGATATATGATAAGATGGGGAAAGACTACATGATGAGGGGTGGTGTATATCGTTCTAATGAGTTTTACTTATTCTATAAGCACTGGAAATCCGTTGACTCAGTTTTAATAGATATAATGGAGATGTTTCATGATCATCTATGTTTCAGGAAAATTATTCTGGCTTTTGCAATTTAAATATTTGCCTTTTTTTCTTTTTTTAAACGAAAAATGACTTCTTGGAGTTAATAGACAATATGACAGTGAAGTAGATTTACAAAATAATGGAAATTCACATTTAGACCATGATTTTAATATATTACTATAAATTTCTTGCTTTGGTCAAAATTAACTTCTATTTCATTTTAGATTCTTCCTGGAATAATAAGTGTCCATCCTATAATAAGAAATCTGGCTGTTTTATGCTTAGGATGCTGTGGACTACAGAATAAGGATTTTGCAAGTAAACACTTTGTGTTACTATTACAGGTAGGATTTACTTTGTGACAAAATCTCCATTGCATTTTCTGAACTATTCTGTCTCTGGTGATAAGGCTAATATTTAATTCATTCTGAAGATTATTGATGATGATTGTTGACAATCTGTAGGAACTCATTTTTTGTCCTTTGATTTTTTTTAATTAAAACATCTTTGTAGAAGAAAGATGAAATGTTAATTTAAGATAATCTTAACCACAGATCAAATATTAAGTGCATATTAAGTTCCTTGCCTGGACTGTTCTATGTTTATGAAAAAAATGTGACAGGTAAGTGGTGAGAAAAAACAAGATTTTAAGTTCTTGTGTTAATAGAGCTTACACTCTAGAAAGTAAAACTCACATTGAAAAATAAACAAATATGTAGTATGTCAGATGAAGAAAAATAATGCAGAGAAGGGGAATAAGGACTGAATAGAAAAAGGGACAGTATAGTTCAGGAAGGCCTCATTAATAAATGGGACCTGTATCAAAGTGAAGTCGAAGGAGTGAACCACAAGCATATCTGGGAATAGGATTTTTTTTTTTTTTTTTTTGCTTAGCACATTTGAGGACCAGGAGGACATATGGCTAGGAAAGACTGAGCAAAGTGGAGAGTAATAGGAAAAAGAATTTGCAGGATGTCTATCTCTTATAGGAGTATATGAACTAAAAAGATGTCAGCTTCCACCATGAATAAAGTAGGAAGGAATTGGAAGACTTTGAATAGAATATTGTGATCTGACTAGGTATGGTGTGGTGTAGACCAGGGAAGGGTTGGACACCTTTCCTATAAAGGGCCACAGAATAAGTAGTTTAGACCATTTAAACCATAGTTCTGTTTCAACCATTCCTCTCTTATGTTGTAGTGGGGAGACAGTAATGGATGGTACATGAACGAATGAGTGCAACTGTAGTCCGGTAAAACTTTATTTATGGACATTGAAACTTGAATTTCATAAATTTTTACATGTACTGAATTTTTTTAATAATTTGAAAATTTAAATAAACTATTTATAACTTGCATACTGTACAAAATTAGGTGGTATATTAGATTTGGCCTGTGGGCCATAGTTGTCATATCCTTGGTAAGACAGCAGAGGTATAATAGAAGCATGGATACTAGTAAGGAAGAAATTCAGCAATCCAGGAAAGACATGGTTGGGATGAGGTTTATGGTTATTTGGATTGTGAGAAGGATAGTGTATTAGCTACGATTCTTCACAGATATAAAACCAATAACATACATTTGTATACATGCATGTATTGTATGTTGATAGATAGATATGAGGGGATTTATTAGGGGAATTGGCTTATATGGTTTTGGAGGCTGTAAACTTCCGTGACAAGTGGTCTGCAAACTGGACCCTGGATGCTGCTAGTATGATAGACCAAGTGTGAAGGCCTGAGAACCAGGGAAGCCCATGTGTTATGTTTAGATGTGGTGTCCCACAAAAGCTCACATGCGAGACAACACAAGAAGGTTTGGAGGAGAAATGATTAGGTTATAGCCTTAACCTAATCCGTGAATTAATTCCTGATTGGGTTAACTGAATGGTAACTGGAGGCAGGTGGGGTGTGGCTAGAGGAAGTGATTCATTGGGGGCATGGCTGTGGGGTATATATTTTGTATCTGGTGAGTAGTTTGTGCTTTCTGGTCATCGTGTGAACTCCTTTCCTCTGCCACTCTCTTGCCATGATGTCCTGCCTCACCTTGAGCCCTGAGGAATGGAGCTGGCCTCTTATGGACTGAGACCTCTGAAACCGTGAGCCTTCAAATAAACTTTTCCTCCTCTACAGTTGTTCTGGATGGGTCTTTTAGTCACAACAGGCAAAAAGCTGACTAAAACACCATGTAACTATTGATCTGTGACCAAAGGCCTGAGAACCTGTAGTCCTGCTGGTATTAAGACCTGGGTTCAAGGCCTGAACAGTCTGGAATTCTGATGTCCAAGTACGAATAAGAGTATATCCCAGTTCTAGGAGAAAGAGGAGATCCCCTTTTTGTTCTGTCTGGGCCCACATTGAGAACATATCTTCCCCCAATTAGTCCATTGGCTCACATGCCAATCTTTCTTGGAAATATTCTCACAAATATACCCTGAAATAATCCTTAACCAGTTCTGTGTAACCCCTAATCTAGAAGTAATCCTTAATCACTTCTGTAGGTAATCCATAATTCAGTCAAATTGACCTAAAATTAACCATCACAAATGGAAGTCTAAGATTGAAAATAGTCTGTAGGATTTGCTGATGTATCTGATGTAGCATGTGAGAAAAAGAGATCTAAGATAACTAAGGATTTAGGTTGGATTAACCAGAAGGATTAAATTATTATTCCCCATGATGGAGAAAACAGAAGCCTGTTTTCCCCCTTTTTATATATTTTTTATTTGTTCTTATTAGTTACACATGATAGTAGAATGCATTTCGACACACCATACGTAAATGGAGTATAACTTCTCATTCTTCTGGTTGTACATGATGTAGTGTTAGACAGGTCGTGTAATCATATATGCACATAGGGTAATAATGTCCAATTAATTCTACTATCATTCCTATCCACATACCTCCTCCCCTCCCTTCACTTCTCTCTGTCTAATCCAATGTACCTACCTCTGTTTTTCCTACCCCTCCCTGTCCCCATCATGAATTATCATTCAGATATCAGAGAACACATTCAGCCTTTGATTGTTTGAGATTGTCTTATTTCACTTAGCGTAGATTTCTCCAGTTCCATCCATTTACCAGCAAATGCCATTATTTCATTCTTCTTAAATTAGGCCGAGTAATAGTCCATTGTGTATATATATACCACAATTTCTTTATCCATTCATCTGTTGAAGGCACCTAGATTGGTTCCATAGTTTAGCTATTGTGAATTGAGCTGCTGTAAACATTGATATGGCTGCATCACTGTAGTAGGCTGATTTGGTATAAACCGAGGAGTGGGATAACTGGGTCAAATGGTTGGTTTCATTCCAAGTTTTCTTAGAAATCTCCATACCCTTTCCATGGTGGTTACACCAATTTGCTGTCCCACCAGCAATGTATGAGTGTTATTTTCCCTCACATCCTCATCCAATATTTATTGTTACTTATATTCTTGGTAATTGCCATTTTGACTGGACTGATATGGAATCTCAGTGTATTTTGATTTGCATTTTTCTAATTGTTAGAGATGCTGAGCTTTTTTATTTATTTGTTGATCAATTGTATTTCTTCTTCTGTGAATTGTCTGTTTAGTTCCTTAGCCCATTTATTGATTGGTTTATTTGTTTTTTGTTTGTTTTTGTTTTGTTTTGTTTTTGTGTTAAGTTTTTTTGAGTTCTTTATATATTCTGGAGAATAATGTTGTATCTGAGGTGCATGTAGTAAAGATTTTCTCCCATTTTGTAGGTTCTCTCTTCACATTATTGATTGTTTGCTTTGAAGAAGGAAGAGCAGGTTTCATGGCAGGTGGATGAAATAAATAAAAAGTGTTCTATATTAGATATGATTAAATTTGGTGTTTGAGAAATAGGCATTTAAATGTGAGTTCCAAGTGTAAGGAGCTATCCAGCATGGCAGATGAGCCTGGAAGTCTCTCTTCTGTTGATGGTATCTGATAGCATCCAGTGCCTAGAGATTGCATGTTACTTGAGGAATGAGTATAGATTGAGAAGAGATCTCAACTTTGAGTTCCCTATAGCTTAGGCAGCATTTAAAGGTAGGGAGATAAAGAAGAACCAGAAGAGACTATGGTGATATCAATAGTATAAGGAGAGGGTGATGTGTTAGAAGGCAATATTACAACGAGGGGAGACCTAACTGGCCAATGCTTCTAACAGGTGATAAGAATTCATAAGTAATCACTTCTGGCAAGTAAAGAAGTGTTCAGTGACTTTTCTGAGAGTAATTTATGTGGCAGGCAAAAACTAGAGTGGGCAGAAGAAAATTTAAGTCTCTTTTAAGGTTTTTGTTTTTCCAGTTAGGAGTAATAGAAATTGGGAGGTAGCAAGAGAGGGTATGGGGGTAAAGAGGAACATTTTGGGTTTTAATTTTATTTTTTTTAAGATGGGGAAACTCAAAGCATATTTTGTATTAGGAAAAATAACTCAGTTGAAAGGAAAAAATCGGTAATATGGGATTGGGGTAGTTGCTGGAGTGATGTTCTTATATGCAGGAGGTGGTGGAATCAGTTGTACCAGTGGAATGCATTTGACTTGCAGACTGCTTGATTTTGGATGTTCGTCTCTAATGTCTGGGCCTAGCTTAACTTGAAAAATAAACTTCAACTTCTACTAGTCTGGTGTTGCCAGTGGGATAAAATGTTTATAATGGAATAAAAAAGCCATGAGAAATTTTGATGCACATTGCTTCTGAACAGTTCAGTAAAGGTAGCAAAGGAGAGCTTTGTATGCCCATGTTGAAAATAATGTGTTAGAATATGGCTCATAATTTTCATGAAAAGATTATTTTAAAGGGCCAAACTCAGCAAAGAAATTTCCCTAGAACATAAAACTCTGTTGTCCATGGAATGGTCAAACTGACTTGTAGCTTTGTATTGAAGGAAGAAAAATAGCGCTGTACTTTTAAAAAATAATTATTTTTAAAAAAGTAATCCTCATGAATTTCAATGTTTTAACTTTCTGAAAAATTACAAAGAAATTGACAGCTAATCAATTAATTTTAATGTGTATCAGTGAAATTCCTGGTGTGTCTGCTTCTGTTTATAATCCCATTCTGTTAGTATCCATGAAAAATCTCTATTGTTAACCTCCTTTGAAAAAAATAGAATGCCAGTATTGTCTTTAAAATGGTGAAGCTTCTTTTTTAAACTGGAAAAAATAAAGTCATTAATTTTTATATCAGCAGGTATTGACATTGGTGATGCTGCTAGTAATTTTTGCAGGGAATTTTATTTGTAATTGAGAAATTTATTGGTTTTAAATATTGGATTTATTATCCGGGAAATAAAATCCTACATTTTTAAAGGAGTTTTGCCTAATATTGTCATCCCTTGGTATCCATGAAGGATCGGTTCCAGGACCATTGTGAATATCCAAATATGCAGATTCTCAAGTTCCTGATATAATACTGAAGTATTTGCATATAACCAGCACTTCTTCCTATATGCTTTAAATCATCCCTAGATTACTTATAATAACTAACACAATGTAAATGCTATTTAAATATTTTAATACTGTATTTTTTCAGGGAATAATGACAAAAAAGTCTGTATAATTTGTTTTTTCTTTTATTTAGTTTGTTGAACTGATGGATTCAGGATCTTGTATGAGATGCAGGGTAGACCATAATTAGAACAGGAAATTTTCTACTTCCATTTCCTGGGATTCTAGAAGATGGGCCTTGAAATGTTAGAATAATTGTTGGTCATTACTTTTTTTTTTTAAGTGGAAGAAAAAATCTTATTAGAACATCTGATAGGGAAGTGTTCGTTTATGTATGGCTTACTAAATAGTTCTCTAGAAAATGAAGTAAAGCATTCATTAAGATGGCCTTTATGCTATTATGAATGATGCTTAAAAATTATAATTTCTTCTAGTCAAGTTGGAACTGATAGAAGAGATTAGAGGCAGACAATTATATAAACTTTCTAGTGCTAAAGCAAAGAAAATATCTTTAAATTGCTTTCAGATGATATTTAAATTCACTTGACCTTTAAACTGAAATATGGAATTGTAATCCTTTTCTTTTTAGTGGTATAACATCATTAATAAATGCCTTGGACATTTCAGACAGAAGAAATGTAATATGAATTTAATCCCAAAGATATCCCAGGAGTATTCATGAGTTAATCAGTACAAACTCCTTCTCTACAGGACAAGGAAACCTCTAGGAGTTTTGATATTGTTTTTCCTATTTAATTTCTTGTAGTTATCAGGAATTGTCTAAATCAAGTTGATGTGAAAGATGTTATCGAGACAATTTCATAATTTTGATAGATTTTCAAATAAATAAAGTAACAAGCTTGTCATGGAATTATAGTCTTCAAGAATGAAAGTATACTCTTTGTTTAAACAACTACATCTGTAAATTTCCATTAGGATCTAGCTATTAAGTTTGTCAGATTTTTTTAAAATTAAAAATATATGTGAATGATATCAGATTCAATTGCAGAAAAAATCTTTATAAATTTTTTAAATATTTTGTATATTCTGGGGGCTAATATCAAAAATATTAACCACAAAATAGATTCAGTTGTCTTTATAAGTGTATTTTCAAGGTTATCATTGAAAGATATTAGAGAAAAATAGCTCTTTTTGGGAATAAGAGATCAATCCTTCTTGTTAAGTTTTAGTAATAAATTTGATGTAAGAAATATATGAGCCCTTGTTAGAGGGGCAGAAGAGGGAAATTATTGCATTTTAAAATCTTAAGTGAGAATCCAACTGGGCTATTGGTGCCCAGTAAGGTACATCTTTTTTTTAGTATTGGGGATTGAACTCAGGGATACTTTTAACCATTGAGCCACATCCCCAACCCTTTTTTAAAAAAAAATTGAGACAGGGTCTGCTAAGTTGCTGGGGCTGGCTTTGAATTTGGAATCTTTCTGCTTCAGCTTACTGAACTATTGGCATTATAGGAGTTTACCACTACATCTCTCTTAAAGTGTCATCTTTAAGAGTGAGGGAAACCAAGTTGCTGCTGAGATAGGAGCATGTTTGGGATTTGTAGAGAGCACTCATTTTAGTATATTATTATCAACATTTAGATTTAACAGATTTATAGGTCTGACCCTCAGAAAGTATGCTGGTTCCTTCCAAGTTTTGAAATTTTAAGCCATTTTTCCTGATTTTTATTAGTTTGACCAACTTGATGATCATAGGTGTATTTAAATTTATTTTAAAGGCCAAATTATATGCCAGTTTTTTTTTTCATTAATCAAAATGTCATCACAGAATATAGTTAATCTTTCATAACAGAAACATTGATTGGGTTCTGGTTTTTTTTAATCAAAATGTAATCACATAGAATATAGTTAATCTTTCATAATAGAAACAATGAATTCTGTTTTTTACTGGCTTTGAAATTTGGTTTATATTTTTGTAATTCAAGACAGACTATATAAACTGCTGATTTTTATGGCTTACCTTCTTTTATACAAGAGTCCAGTTGAAAACTGACTAACATGCTTTTAATTGTTTAGAATCTAGTGTTTTTCTCTTGATGGATGAACTAAATCAACAATTTTGATTTAAACAGTTTTTCTGTATCTTAAAAAAATGATAAAACCATAGTTGATATTATTGTTCTTTTTATAATGAAAGTGACAAATAGTATATTCAGCCAGCCTCTAATTCAGGATTTTTTTTTTTTTTTTTACATACCGCGAATATTAACTTCTTTCGTTTTTTCTTTTTTTGCGGTTCTGGGGATTGAACCCAGGGCCTCACACAAGCTAGGCAAGTGCTCTACCACTGAGCTTAATCTAATCCCTAGCCAGATTAAATTTTTCTAAAGGAATATAATTTCAATTATTATGGTACAAATAAATGCATTTTTAAAATTGAAGTTTATATTTTAAATTGAATTTAAATTATACTTCTGAAAAGTGTTGTTTTCTCTATATCTGATAGTCATTGAAATTTGAGTAAAAGTTTGTGTAATCATTTTACTAAGGGTAAATAAATCATTATACTGAATGCTTTTTGGTGGGGGATGTCTCACTTTAGGTTTTGCAAATTGATGATGTCACAATAAAAATCAGTGCTTTAAAGGCAATCTTTGACCAGCTGATGACATTTGGGATTGAACCATTTAAAACCAAAAAAGTCAACACCCTTCAATGTGAAGATGCAGACATAAACTGTGATGATGAACAAGAATCAACAGAAGTTGAGGAGACTGCTACAGCTAAAAATGTTTTGAGACTCCTTTCTGATTTCTTAGATAGTGAGGTAAGAAATAGTTCCAATCTTGTGGTTATGAAGTGTAGTTTGCAGCATCTAATTTGTTTATGTTCTTTATGTTTTTAGAAGTAAAGTTTAAACTTGGACAAAATTTTTGAATTTGCTTTTTTGACATCTTAATTAAATCTCAGATTTTACTTTTATCATAATTTCTCACTATTAAATTGGGCAGCATAGGATTGCAGTATAAAGAAATGACTCTTAAAGGCAGTAATTAATATTTTTTGTTTCATAAAAGATGGTTTGTGATTTAAAGACTTAAGCTTTTCCTCCAAGAGTTTTAAGAAATTGTTTAGAATGCTTTTACATTTGAGTTGGTAGGAGGTATAATAAAGGCTATGGGATTAGATTTTTTTTTTTCTTTTTAAGAATTTTTTCACAGTACCTTTATTCTATTTATTTTAGTTTTATGTGGTGCTGAGAATAGAACTCAGGGCCTCACACATGCTAGGTAAGCCCTCTACCACCGAGCTACAGCTCCAGCCCTCTTTACGTACTCTGACCTACATTTTTATAGCATATAAAAACATTTAGTTTGTTTAAAAATGTTTATACTGACTGTATAGTTTCATTTCATTGAGGTTAAATTGACATAATAAAACTAACAATTTTAAAGTGAACAATTAATTGGCAATTAGTACTTTCATAGTCTAGTGCAGCTATTATCTGTATCTAATTTTTAAAACATTTTCATCATCTCAAAAGGAACTGTATCTAGAAAACAGTTGTCCCTTATTGCCCTGCTTTTCAGTCCCTGACAACTACCAGTCTGCACTCTATGAGTTTTACTATTCTCGGTATTTCATATAAATTGAATCATATAATATGTGACCTTTTTTCTGTTTGGCTTCATTTAGCATAATATTTTTGAGGTTCATTCACATTGTAGCTTGTAGCAATACCACTTTCCTTTCTGTAGCTGAATGGTATTCCATTTTATGTGTATACAGTTTATTTTTTCATTCAACTATTGAAACACATTTGGGCTATTACTACCTTTTGATTACTGTGATTGTACTACTATGAATGTGCACATATATGTATTTGAGTGCCTGTTTTTAGTTCTTTGGAGTATATACCAAGAATTGGATTTCTGGGTCATATGATATTTCTTTGTTTACCTTTTTGAGGATTTGCCAAATTGTTTCCTATATCATCTGAAACATTTTATGGTCCTGTCTTAAGTGTACAAGGATTCCAATTTCTCCACATCCTTTTCAACACTTATTTTATTGTTGAAAAATAATTCATTGTCGCATCCTAGTATATGCGACATAGTATGGTCTTGATTTCCATTCCCTAATGATTAATAATGTTGAGTATCTTTTCATCTGTGTGGCAATTTGTATATCTTATCTGCAGAAATGTCTGTTAAGTCTTTTGCCCATTTTTAAATTGAGTTATGGAGTTCTTTATATTGCTTGAGTAAGTATATCCTTATTAGATGCATAATTTGCATATATAGTTGTTTTTTCACTTTCTTGATAATACTTCTTAACATTAAATTAAAGATGTTTTTTCATTTATTTAGGCTGTTTTTAATTTCTTTTGGCAATGTTTTGTGTTCAGCATAACAGATCTTTTATTCTGAGGTATTTTATTCTTTTCATGAACATTTTTTCTTAATTTTTTTTTTTTTTGGAATTGTTCATTGTTGGTGGATACAAACTAAACTGGAACTTTTGTTTCTGTTAATTTTATTTTCACCCTGGAGCTTTGTTGAATTCATTTATTAGCTCTAGTGCGCTCTGTGTGTGTGTGTGTGTGTGTTTGAAGTTTCTTTATGTAGTACCATCTTATTTGTGAAAATACATAGTATTCCAATTTAGATGTCTTCCTTTTCTTGTTTGATTTTTCTGGATAGAACTTCTACACAGTGTTGAATAGCAGTCGTTAAGTGTTAAGAGCACATAGTCTTTTCTGATTTGGGGGGAAAATTTTTCAATCTTAACCACTGAATGGGTTATTGTAGGTTTTTTATATATATATCCTTTATCATTTTGAGGTAGTTCCTATCTATAATTACCACCTCTGTTTTTTATTTATTTATTTTTTTTAATGAAAGGGTGTGGATTTTGTCCAATGATTTTTCTGCATCAGTTGAGTGATCATGTGGGGTTTGTTTTTCAAAGTAGTACATTATGTTGCTTGGTTTTCTTATGTTGAATGACTGTTGTGTTCCTGGGATAAACTCCACTTGCACAAGTTATATAATCCTTTCAGTGTGTAATTTGATTTGGTTTGCTAATATTTTATTTGAAGATTTTTGCATCTATATTTATAAGTGATATTGGGTCTATAGTTTTCTTGTGGTATCTTTGGCTTTGGTGTCAGGGAAAACTGACCTGATAAACTGAGTTAGGAATTCTCTCTTATTTTATTGGAAAGTTTGAGAGTTGTTGTTAATTTTTTGCAAGTTTGGCAGAACTTATTAGTGAGGACTGGTCCAGGACTATGCTTTTTGGGAGAGTTTTGATTATTTATTTAGTATGTTTACTTGTTTCACATCTGTTTAGATTGTCTGTTTCTTCTTGAGTCATTTTTGGGGATTTGTATGTTTCTAGAAATGGATTAAAGAAGAAATCACAAGAAAAAAATCAGATAATACTTAGCCCCGAATGTGTTAGTGAGGAAGACACATTTCAACACCTTAGCACTGATTATTGTTCTTAACTTCTGTTATCTTATAATTTTGAGTTTGGATAATAGTTTTGAACTGGCTCTTCTGTTTGCTCATTATACTCTTTTTACTTCTATCTCCTTAATTTAGACTTTTTTTCATTCCTGTATTTTAACCTGCCAAGTGATTTTCCTGAAATCTCAGTAAATCTTGTTTCCCCATCTTTTGAAAAATTTCATTGGTTCCATATCATGCCTCATTATGCTTAAATTTCTTTACCTAATTTTCAAGGTCTGTATAATCTGACTACCAAGGATTACTGTATATATGGCACATGTACTTTTCTTCACCTTTGTAACTCTTATGTGATAATTCCTATCTTACCCTTTTTGTATATGAAAAACACGAAGCAGAGAAGTGAAGCCCAGGACCACACAGCTAGGATGTGTCAGAGCTTGAACCAAACTCAGTCTCTATTGCCGGATTTCTTAACCACCACTGTACCAGTACCTCTCTCTGAACACCCCTGCATCCTCTTTTCCTTTTGCTTCCCTAGGTTTTTTGCACTTTTTAGGACTGCTTTTTTTCCTTCTGTTCACATTTCAACCCTGTTCAGACACATTTCTACTCGCACTTCTAGAGCTTTCTTTTATAAGCACTTCCTCTGATGACAGGGAATATTGCTGAGTGTTTCCTTAGAAATACTAAGCATTTAAATATATATAATTTTGCCCCCCACAACATTTATAAAAGAACTTTTGGTTCTTTTGAAGTTTTTAAGGCTGGATTGATTTGTCTAAAATCATTTAGATTTGACTAAAATCATTACTCTAGCTGTGAAGAAAGAATACCTTTTCATGTGTCTTTAACAGATTTATAACATGAGTGATTTTTTTAATAGTTCACTTAAAAATATTGTTGGGCAGCTATGTTGTGAACCTTAAAAGGAAAAAATTTTTCTGATGAATGTCATCTTTATTAGGTGTCTGAACTCAGGACAGGAGCTGCAGAAGGACTAGCCAAGCTGATGTTCTCTGGGCTTTTGGTTAGCAGCAGGATTCTTTCTCGTCTCATTTTGTTGTGGTACAATCCTGTGACAGAAGATGATGTTCGACTTCGACATTGCCTGGGCGTTTTCTTCCCCATATTCGCTTATGCAAGCAGGTATTGAGTTCTGTTGATAAATCAAAATCTGACTTAAGCCAACTTCATCACTCCCCCTGCCCCCGACTGATTATATCTGTAACGTCATTATGTTAAGATATTTTTTCTTTCTTTGGTGGATATATGATGAAATGAGAAGAATTTACTTATCTGTCTAAATTATTTGACTCTCTTCTAGATGAAAATGTGCTTCATCTTGATGGAATGAATTTTATATATAATTTTTTTAGAATTATGATTTTCTTTCAAATAATGCAAGCATACTTTCAAATTGTCTTTTTAATAGGACAAATCAGGAATGCTTTGAAGAAGCCTTTCTTCCAACTCTTCAAACACTGGCCAATGCCCCTGCATCATCTCCTTTAGCTGAAGTGGATATCACAAATGTTGCAGAGTTGCTTGTAGACCTGACAAGACCAAGTGGATTAAATCCTCAGGCCAAGGATTCCCAAGATTATCAGGTGGGTGAAAAATATTAGCTTGTCGAAATAGTGAGGAGCTGAATTTTTATCTCGACTTCTGTATGGTGGTGCGTAGCACAAATATGAAGGAAAGATCTTTTTGGAAACTTGGGGAAGTCACATGAAAATAGACATAGTTGATGCAAACATTTTTGCTACTTAGAAATTACCCAAAATTTAATCCCCTCTCTATCACCGTTCCCTCCATCATTGACTGAATCACTCTGAAGTAATAACCTATGTTATCTAGGTCTCATTTGATTTTAAAATGTTGACTCATCTGTTAATGCTGTTGATACAAAAAAGGGCAATAACATTTGGTCAGACTTGCTACCAGTTTGGGAATTTAATGTGTTATTAAATCATTTCAGATACCTGAAAGTTTAAAGTATTGTTCTTCTCTTTTTATATTTATTTGATATTTAGTGACTTCATACTGTCCAAGTCACAATATTATATGCTATTAAAAAAATAAGATTACAAAGGATATTATGCAAAATACGGTATTGGTCAGTGATATGGCTACCAAACACTTAAAAACTTTAGAATAGCAGTAATAGTTTCAAAATCCATTGAGTAAAATTCATCTTAAACCTAGATGGAAGTTGAGGAGTGGTTTTGATAGAGAGGAAGGTTGTATTGGTAGAGGTAATAGATATAGGTGGTTTTTCAAATCATGCTTTAAAGGACAGTGTAGGAAATTTGGAGTTGGCCTTATTTGCAATATAGAGCTTATGATGAAAGTGTAAGTAGGATAAATTTGCTTATTAGGAAGATTAATTAAGTGGTCACTGATAGTTATATGAGGTGAAGTGGTGAGAAAAAAGAGAATATTAATAAAAGGAAATGTTTGTTAGATGTGACAAGAACTATATTATATGTGACAAGACTATATTATCTATATGATTAGAAGATAAAGATTTGCAGAATAAGGAACAGTATAAAGTAGTACTACAAAGAAGAAATAATAGTGATATAGTAAAAACAATAATAAACAAGCTATGGGTACAACAGCTTGAAGGAAAGAGCTTAATATGCAAGGGAAATGAAGGAGTTCAGGGACACTCTTAAGATCCTTGGTATGAGACTTCACAGGCACTGTCTGTCTTAGTTTGAGGGGGATACTGTCATCAGGAACATCTTGGGAGAGTGAACATCTTGGGAGAGTAGGCTGTGGCATAGAGCCAAGCTGAACTGCCATGCAAGTTAGAAGCTCAGCTGATCCCAGAGAGAATTTCAGACTGGGATATTCCTTTGAGTTGTTTAGAATTGGCAAAATCTAGATCATTGTACCTGTACATTGACTGGCTACTCATTGAACGTGGACTGGCCCTTAGAGGAAAGAGTTGTGACTTCCTATAAGGCCTGGGATTCTGCAGCTGGGAAGTTTAGCCTCCAAAACTGGCGGATGCATCAGTCCTAAAGAAGGTAGACCTGGGCCACAGCATCTGCCACAAGAATTCAGTGGGGGAGTTTATTTTGAGGTGAGGGAGACATTAAATTTGGTTTCAGATATTTTGCATTTGGGATTATGGCAAGGTAACTAGTTGGAAATATTTGTTAGATGAGACAAGAACTATATTATAATATTCACTTTTTATTTACAAAGATTTTTCTCTTTAATTTTTCTAGGCCTTAACGGTACATGACAATTTGGCTGTAAAAATTTGCAATGAAATCTTAACAAATCCATGCTCACCAGAAACTCGGGTCTATACAAAAGCTTTGAGTTCTTTAGAGCTCAGTAGCAACATTGCAAAAGATCTTCTGGTTCTGTTGAATGAGATTCTAGAGGTAAAATAGTTTCTAATTACTTTTTTTTTTTTTTCTGTTTTGTATTGAGGGTTGAACCCAGGGTGCTTCAGCTCTTAGAGTTACATCCCCAGCCATTTTTTATTTTTTATCTTGAGACATGGTCTCACTAAGTTTTTTGAGGGTCTTGCTAAATTGCCGAGGCTGGCCTTGAACTTGTGATACTCTTGCCTTAGCCTCTTGAGTTGCTTGGATTACAGGCATGTGCCACCCGTACCCAGCACACTTACTTTTAATTAGCTGTGTTTATATTTATTGGAGTAGAATTTATGTGGATGTATTAAATTGAACATGTTAGCGTACTGTAAATTTGTTCATTTGGTGTAAATATTCCCTTCATAAGTTTCATAATTTTTAGAATGTTGATATTGGTTTATAACTTTTTTTTTTAAAGATTAGAAAATGTCATGTTTAATTTTTTTTGTTTTGTTTTTGGATAGCAAGTAAAAGATAGGACATGTCTGAAAGCTTTGGAAAAAATCAAGATTCATTTAGAAAAAGGAAATAAAGAACTTGGTGAGCAAGCCATAGCAGCACAGGATGCCAACATGACTACAGATCTTTTTCAAGATGATGATGGTAACGACATACCTGAATACTGATAAAATTTTTTAAAAATTTTTATTGTGATATGTTTTTTTCCTCTTCTAATGTGTTTGGGTGTCAGATATGAATGAAAATCTAATTAACCTCCTCAGGAAAGTGTATTATTGATGTGTGTATACACATTTTATTGTGTATATTTCTGACTGTATAACCATTTTGTCAGGAGTTCTGATTCGTAGTACTCACATTTTTTTTTTAATAGTAATTTATGATAACCTTTCGGTAGTTTCTAATAGAACTGTTTGCCATTTCTTTTTTATGAAAGATGAAAAGACAATTTGAAATATTTCATGAGACTATCTTTTATTTACACTGTTTTATTATTTCCTTTAATAGAAAAGAATAAAGAAGTATATATGACTCCTCTCAGGAATGTTAAAGCAACCCAGGCATCAAAATCCACTCAACAAAAGTCTAATAGAGGTAGCGTTTGGATTGACTAGCTCCTATAATAAAATTGTTTCAATTTTCTCTTCCAGTGAAAAATACTTTGATAGTTTCCTTGTCTTTGTTTCCTTCAGGATAATGATTTTTAAATGTCTTAGATATCCTTAACTTATTTCAGAGGTTTTGCGTTATGACTAAAGAATCTAAAATTGGTTCAGGTGCTTTTGATTGAAAGAAACATGATACAATAGACCATATTGTAAATTACTATTTGGGTTAAAGTTTAAGATTTGGTTAAGTGTTAGCTTATAAGTTATTTGTGTTTTATGACTGAGCATTGATTTCTTCTATTTTTCTGTTTTCTTTCCATCCCATCTGATATTTTCCCAACTTAATTTGTTTCCCAAGGATAATCTAACAAGAGGATTTGTTGGAATAAAGTAAATGTTTACTACTTACTAGGGGATCACTTTGAAGAAAATATGAAATTCAAGATTTTTTTATTGTTTTATTATTTCCTTATTACAAAAGCAGTGCATGCTTATTACAGAAGAATCAGTACATTCAAGCAGACTACTGTAAAGAATACTAATAATCCCACCCATGAGCCAACCATGATTTTAATCTTTGAAAAATATTTTTAAGGCCCTTTTCTAAACAGATTTAATTTTTTTTCTTAAAATGGAATCTGGCCATAATAGTGTTTCACAACCAATCAGTTATTTCAACACCAATTATTGGCTATTGTTCCAGATTTGTCCCACAATGTTGGCTGTCTTGGGGATAAATGCATTGTAAAAGCAAGTGAGGCATGAGAGGGAATCTAACTTGTATAAGGAATGTGATGTTCAAATAAATGATCAACTTCACAATTTGGTTTTGATTAGATTATTTTAGTCACTCGAAATATGAGAATTTCATCTTTTTTTTAATAGCGCAAACTTCATGTATACATGATATTTTATTATAATTGAGGAACATTATAAGGCAAATTCTGTCTTTGTAACCTTGTAAATTTCTAGCAAGTAGAATTTTTAGAACCCTTAGTATATAAAGGTTTTTGTTTTTACATGGAAATATATTTTAGAACACATATTTGAATTGTTCGTGTATATATTTAAATATTTTGTAAGAAGCCATTAAAGTTCTATTTCAAGCTGGGTATAGGGGCATATGCCTGTAGTACCAAGCTACACAGGAGGTGAAGGTAGGAGGATCATTTGAGTCCAGAGTTTGAGACCAGCCTGGGCAACATTTGTGAGACCCCATCTCTGAAATGAAATGACATTTCTCTCTTTTTAAGGTCTCTTCATGGACATCACCTGTCTTTCTAACCTTAATTTTCATTAATCTACCCATATGGATTGTGTTACAGCTATAATAGTTATTTTTAAAATTTAAGATTGTTTTCACCTGCTTCTCCCCAAATTAAATTTTGTCTCTTTTTTAACTTACTTTGTATTAATTCCCATTGTTCTTTATCAGTACTTAACAAAAGAAATTAATATAAATTTTAATCTTGCTTGGGTTCACGGGTTCTTTCTTCATGATATATTGATAATTGACATCAAAGTGGCTGGGAATAAGAAAGAAATATGTTAGAAGATTGTGTGTTGAAAATAAAGGATTCAGATAGCCCAGAAACAACATTTTAAAAACATTAAACAATTGATAATAAATTTTGATAATTATATTTTCTTTAAGGACGGAGAAAAGTGTCAGATTCAACTAGGACCAACAGGAGACGCCAGATTACTGAGACTGACTCTGAAAGGTATGTCATGTATGTCTGGAAATATGTGAAGAGGCCTATGTTTCTTGTTATTTTTAAATTTTTTTGTCTAGAAGTAGAAAAAAATTCTGTGAGAGACTCAGTATATATAACAATGTAGTAAAAACTATAAATAGCTATGACTTTGATACATAGTCTAAAATTCCATTATCAAGAGCATTTGACTATGGCTTGTGTGCTTTTGCCTATTAGTTGGCATAGCCTGTACAGTTATTAGGTAGTCATCTTTAATGTGTTCTCTCAATTTATATTTCCACATATTTTTGTAATTGCATGACCCTGTATGTATGACTCCTTTTTGATAGTGAAAACTCTTCATTTAGGTTCTTTACATTTATAGTGATAGAATAATTCTGCCTATAATTGAATATACTAATGGTTTGTGTAATAGTATTTGGTTTTGGAGTTTTGTCAGTTAAGCCCTTGTTGGAGCTAAACGTTTGTAGCTGTCTTGCATTCATCTATTTATTCATTGTAAAGTTGTGTGTATTTTCACTACATGCATATTAAATCTTGGTTATACTTGTGTGTGGGAGGGGGTTGCCTTAATAATTTACATAATCAAAAGAACTTAGTTCTTTTTCCACTTCTTTAGTTCTAAAAACCCCTCTTTTGGATAGTTTGTTATGGTCCCTGTTTAATTATAAACTTTGCTACAAAAGTTTGATGTTTTGTTTTCCTGTTATAACACTGGGTTTCAGTAATATATAAAAAATTGGCTAGGTTTTCCACAGTCCACTTAGCTGAATAGCTAGTGTTTTTGGCTGGTATTTTGAGATTTTAGTTTTAAACTTAGTTAATGGAATCAGGCTATCAAATACACACTGATATAATGTCAGAAACAAAAATGTTTTATTTATAAATAAGTTGGTTTTAAAGCTTATATCTAAATTGGTATATTTTCAACGTCTGTTTAGTGATCATGAAATTCCAGAACCAGAATCAGAAATGAGGATGAGATTACCAAGACAAGCCAAAACAGCAGCCCTGGAAAAAAGTAAACTAAACCTTGCACCGTTTCTCAATAAAGATGTAAGTTAGGAGAGATGATGGAGGTGGACTCCTTTTAAAGTTATGTTCATTTTTGCTTTAATAAAGTTGTCCTTGTGTCAAAATCAGAAAAAGCCAGATGTCTTTCTGAAAACTTTTGTTGTGCTTTGGCCTGTACCTTTGGTGGGATACAAAGATTGCTGGCATTAGCCAAATAGATTGGTTTTATCAGAATCTGAGGTGGGCCTAGGAATCTGCTTTTTAAATAGGCTCCCCAGGCAATTCTTGTGCTATTATGGCATTATAGAAAACTTGTAAGTATAGCTGAGTAGGAGCTTGCACTTGAGAAGATTAGAGAGAGCAGGTCCAACAACACTTGGTGAGAATGCTTCAGCACACACTTAACAGGTGGCATTTCAAGGACAAATGAATTACCACAAAGTAGCCAGAAAGGAGCTTCTAAGGAGGACCAGTGTAATGAATCAAAGTGCTCGTCTTCCAAGTTAAATACTTATTTGACAATCTTATTTTGTGACTCCTTCACTAAGAACATTTTCTTATGCTACCTGCAGGGTAATCTCCCCTCCTAAAGTATTTGCATGTGGGAGCCCATTTGTGTTTATGGGTTAGAGAGATGTCTACATAGAAATTTTACAGCTGCTTTTTGGCAAAAAAATTTTTAATACTGTTACTACTACTACTACTACTACTACTACCACCACCACCACCACCACCACCACCACCACCACTACCACTACTGAGAGAAGCATTGACAGGAAGTCCTCTTTGATTACTAATTCATGAGCTTTCTTCCCTGTCAATTTCATTTATCTTTTGAAACTGACATTTGCCCGATGTATGAAACTTGCACCATATGAAATTAGTCCTCCTTTCTGCAACACCCAACACCTTTTCTCATTCTCTGATAATTATGTTACTTAGAGCAGAAATGTTCTAACATGGATCTGTTTTAGTAATTGTGCTTCTTTAATTTTATTTGTCAGAGGTTATTAAGGTGATGTTTTATGATGGAGGTGAAGTAATATTGCTGGGTTTTAGAACCAGGTTGCTATATTCTATATAAACATGTGCTTTATAGAACTCAGAAAGCAAGAATGCTTACTAAACAAAAGGAAAAGGAGATATGACGATGCAAATCAATAAAAAACAGATGTTATTCATTTTGTTGGCTCTGTGTCTTTTCCTGTGCTTCAAATTCTTTTTGAGTTATGTCTTTAGTTAAATCCCTGTCACTTAAAAAGTAACTTTTTTGGTAGAAAGGAAGGAGGACTGATAATGGTACATAAATTATGTTATAAGGAAGTCTTTTAGACACAAAATAAACTAAAATCCCATTTACACATGGTTAGGCTATCCAAAAGGAAAGGAGCCATGTTTGGATACAGACCATACCACAGCTTGCATTCTCTGGCATGGGAAAAATAAATTTAAGCACCAAACCTTTAGTGTTCTTACTATTCAAATTTTAGACAAAATCACTTAGCCATTGCTAACAGTATATTTGTACTAGTATAATTAACGCGGTCCATTATTAAATGATATCCCTTTAAATTTTAAAATTAATGGCTAAAATACAATAAAACCAACAGGTATAAATAAACTTACCATTTTTCATTCAAAATTGGTAACTCAGACCAAATAGTATTTTTGTCTACCCAAAGGCACAGATTTGCTGAAGGTTAACATGCAATTGTGCCATTTCTCTCACAGCCCACAGGCTACTGTTTTAAAATAGAGAATGAAAACTGATCAATTCAAAGTCTTTTTACGAATGGAAACATGCTATCTGATGATAAACTAGGGATCAATCATTTTTTTCTGTACATATATAACTTTGAGAGATTTACTTCCAAAAGATACCTTTGCCTTTTCTTTTGCCAGTTTGCTTCGAGGTAGTTGGTATCCACCTATTATACAACTTCCATGGGCCAGGTCAGCATCACAAATCTTTACAATACTAGTTTTCTAAATTACATGAAGTATTATATATTAAAACTGTGCACAGAAATTGGGGACAATTATGTATTTAAACTTAGGGCATAAAAAATTCACAAAATACCATTAAAAAGAGAAACATCAAAATTGTTTGTACTGCAAAATTCCACAATGGTCAGGTGTAAAACATGTAAAAAAACATCATACAAAGAATATAATAAAAATGATTAATGCTAATGACAATATAAAGACAAATCACAGGACTGGAAATATTTCAAGATCAATTGATAACTGCTAATTGTTTAGCAGAAATAATAATGATGTACAAAATGAGAACTACAATCTATTTTTCTTCACTTTTGGGATTTTGGTTATGAACTGTACAGCTTGCTAGAGATGCTGCTGTCAAATTCAGGTTCCACTCAATGGGACGATTAAGGCACATCTTAACGGGGCTCAAAGGGCAACTTGCTGTATTCCCATCAGATAAATTCAGTTTCTCATCAGTTTTCACTTGTAGCATGCTGGAAAAAAAAAAAGTGTAAGGCATTTTAGTTTTTTCTTTAATTCTATACAACAACCTTGTAAAAGAAAGTTCAATAGTATTATTGTTAAGGTCTCTAAAAGAGTAGGTAAAGCATTTATTATTCCAGAAGTATATATAAGTTTTACTTCCTTCTTACTGAACTGAATACAATGAACTGTGCTTGTACGAATTGGGTAATGAGTTCACTCAGATAACACTGGTCAAAAACAGCCACTGCATATATGGATTATATCAGTATATATCAGAAAAGACATTATTTAACCTGGCAAGATTCAGTCCTTTAATTTTAATCAGGATCACAGCCACTTTGATAAAAGGAATTAATATTTGTTGAATGCCTACTGTGTTCTCTAAGCACATTCACATGCATTATTTCATTTGAATTTTAACAAGTAAGGTGTGTATACTTAAACCATGAAAGTCTTCAAGAAACATGCCTGAGGACATACTGTCACCAGCCTGAAATGGGAAATACCAATCTTGTTCTTTCCCTTGCAGCTTGACTATAGCTCTAATAAGGCTGATAAATCATCAGTAGAAAAATACTCTTTTTTTTTTTTTTGATGACATAAGAGTGTAAAGTTGTCAAGCCTATCTGGTGACCAGTGCATGTCACATCAAAGGATACTCTGGTCACCTCTTTCAAAGAGGTTTTATGTTGATGGAGAAACTGGTTTATTTGGATGTTAGGTTGGTCATCTCTTCATTATTCCCTTATTCCACAAGGTCATGGGCACATTCCCACCCATTTTTGAGTGTTGTTCCCTCCTCAGAAGCCTTGCCCTCTACTCTCTTTAGCCAAAACTTACCCTTGCTTTTACACCTGACCCAAATCTCCTGTCATCTCTGAATTTAATCATCAATAATACTGCACTTTTTTGTAAACTATTCTAGGTTCTCCACTATCTTTGTGTCTGAATAGCCCTTGCAGATGTGAAGGAAAGAAGGATAACATTTTTATCTCTGAAAATAAACACACTGCTGAATACACAGTAGTTGCTCCATAACAACCAAAATCAATAAACATAGAAATCATAATGAAATGTCTGAATAGCACTACTCTTACAGAACCTTGCAAGTCCAAAGGGTGCCTCATCGGCTCTGCATAATGCTCATGTGATCCCCAATCTTACATATAGGCTTATAAACTATTCTGCAGCATAATGTAGACTTGTTGGTCACCAGACAAACTTGACAGCTTTATACTCTTATCCTCAAAACAGGACTTTTTCTATGATGATTTATCAGCCTCATTAGAGCTCGTAGTCATGCTGCAAGGGAAAGAACTCATTTGACTGGTTCTTTTAAGCTTTCTCAATTATAGCTATACATCTATGATTCTATTAGTGGAGGATACTGAAGTGGCTAATGTGTAAGCATTTGGCAGAGTTGGGTAATGGTAATATGTAGACTCCAGTAACATTTTTCTGATTCCTCCTTGCAATCTCATGTGACTAATTTTGCTATTCAGTAACCCAAGTCTGATATGTCATGGCTTTACACTGCTGCTCTCCTCACTAGAATCTCCCCGGGCAAGTAGTTCCACTGAATGACAGAGTGTCAATTTGTTTAAATAGATACTATGCAAAATGACAGACTATAAGTTAGCTTATTCCTCATAAAAATAAATAGCGAAAGTTTTAAAACAAAAGTTAAAACTAATATGAATAGGAACATATTTTAAATTGTTACATGATCAAAGAGATCTAAAATACATTATATTCATTCATGTCAGAAATGTTGATTTTTGAAAAAAGTTACACTGGCTCTTGCTAGTCTGCATATTTTTTTGTTTTTTTAAGCAAAAGTGTTTGAAGTACACCTTCTTGAGAACTCATGGCAAGTTACCAAAATGTATTACGATAGGTTGGCAGTTAAGCATATTAAGTACTAAACTTGAAAAAAAGAAAATGAAAGCATAGAACACATCATGCTCATAAAGTATATGTTTCATTTGCTATTAATTTTGACAAAGGTGTGTCTGTCAGAATGCTGTTTTTAGAGTGGTGGTACTATAAATTTGGGTACAAAAATCCTAGTGTTGCACAAAAGTATACATTTGGAGAAAATGAGTTTTGAAGTAACTAAATGTTACTATTAATATGCAGATTGATGTGTTTAATTCAAATATCCTTAAGTTACTGGGTGTGTATTATTGATCTACTTAATTGGCAATTAAAATTTTCCTAGTTTAACTATTAAACTACCAAATTTGTGGTATGATGACACAAACTGGTACCAAGTCAAATATGACAATCAATTTTTCTTGGTACAATTTTTAAACAATGTTTTTGGTCTTATGCATGTTTTAAAACAATGTTTGCAAAATGTTATCAACTCTACATAAAAAAATCAATCAGTACAAAATGTTATACAATGAAAAAAGTCTGTCACTGTTCTTAGTCCCTGTTTGAGGGCAATTATTAACCATTTTCTTCTAGTTTCTTCACGTTGAAATATATACATATTGTTTCAACTATGTCCTTCCTCCTATACAATTCTATGTATTAATCTGTTATCTTGCTTTTTAAAATAAAAATATATTTTGGATATTTCAAATCTGCATAATAAATACTTGAGCTTTTAACAACTACACAGAATTCTCTGGAATTTCATCAGTCCTGAATTCAC